AAAAAAAAAAAAAAAAAAAAAAAAAAAAAAAAAAAAAAATTACATTTTGTAACACTTGCAGAGACATTGTCCCCTACTCTCTGTCCCCTTTACTTACTTGTTTTAAATAAAAGTGCTTTTAAAGTTACCTTATGTGAAAACAAGATTTTTTTTTTTTAAAGTCTTTATTCTATTTGCTTTCAAGCATTGCCCCTGACGTTCATGACATGAACAGCAGTGGGGAATGTGCATGTGAATGACAGGCGCTCCCTAGGCAGTGAACTTCAGAGCCTAACAAATGGACACAGGTGGGGAGGCAGGAGCCAATACCAGGCCAACCTCTTAGTGGAAGAGCAAACTACATGGTCAGAGGGAGGCAGAGGGAGCTGCCTCTTCTCCCTCTGACACTTTGTCCTGTTTTTTGAAGGGGAGTATCCACATTCACCAAACACCTCCTTTGATCCTGGGGGCAGGTAAGTGCTACTGGAATCTCCCTTCTGTGGGTACATCTACACTGCGAAGAATAACCCATGGCACCAAGTCTCAGAGCCTGGGTCAACTGACTCGGGGTTGCAGGACTCACGCTTCAGAGTAAAAATAGCAGGGTAGACATTCGGGCTCAGCCTGGAGCCCAGGCTCTGAAACCCAGCAACGAGGAAGGGTCTCAAACCCAGGCTTCAGCCTGAGCCCAAATGTCTGCACTGTATTTTTAGCCCTGAGCCCAAGTCAACTGACCCAGGTACCACAGGTTTTTCTTTGCAGTGCGTAGACATACCCTCAGTTTGCTCCCGTGCACAGATGAGGCTCTCATTTCTATGCCACTCTTCCAAATAACGAAGCCAGTGAATTGCTCGAGACTGGATTCACAGCTGGGGGTGTAAACATAAGCGAGGGGACAAACAACAGTCTGGAGCCTGGGGTGGGGCAAGTAGCAGATGATTTGTAAATTTGAGGAATGAGAAGGGAAGCAGTTGCTAGCAGGATGCAACAGAATTATAACTCTGCTTCTGGTGTTTTCATTTCCTGTTACAAATTTTGATTTTTGTAGCCATTATAACTGCTCCAGAGCTGGGAGCACTTTCACAAACAGTAAAACATTTCTCAATACAACACAACTGACTGTCCAGATAGCTCTAAATGTTACCCACAAACCACCACCGCCACATGGCAATTGCATAACAAAAATGAAGGGATTCACATCTGAAGTGGGTCTAGTGAGATATATTTTATATGATCAATTCTCTCTATATTAGGCCACAATATGACAGCATTCATTACTCCTCCCTTTTAAACAGTATGTCTGGTGACTAGCTTAAATAGCCTAAACTATTAATGCAGAAACTTTACTTGGTAACCACTATTTATGTCCCAGGTTAGCAACTAACTCCATCCTTTGCTAAGGATGTGGATCTGAGTAATATTTAATACATCATCACCTGCAGATGGGGAAAAGATATTTCAGGCGCAGGAACTAAGGTAGACGACATCCCACTGACTGGATTGAGCGATGGGATGTTAGGAACCAGAATTAAACTCCGGAATTCATTGTGTCTGCGCTGTAAATCCTTTAGTCTTTTCTGAAGGCGAGTGTATTCTTCATAGGGAACATTCTGTCTATGAAATAAGATGTTTGTATTGCTCAAAATGCTTAAGAGTACCATATCACAGAAACATGTCTCTCTCTAACACGTTGCTAAACACTCTCCCAATAAAGTGCTGCTTCAGGATGGACGTGTATAGCCCATATAGAACAAGGAGAAGCACTTTATTTGTGTTTAAATGTTTGGGAAGTCCATTTTACACCTCAAATGATATAAACTACAGTCTCACAGACTAGAATTTACTCAACAGCAGGGAAATAAATTCAGATTTTAATGTAATGTTCACAGTAGTGAGTAGCACTATAGTTAAGACTGCTTTTTAAAGTATTTAAATCAAAGATGAGTCAGACGCTCCATATGCTCCAAAGGCACTGGAAGAACCAGGAACTGCCGTATCTTTCCAAGAAGATTTTAGTCTGGTTCTCTTACATCCTTCTGGGTTATTTTTCCTTTTCTTTACTTCCGCTTACCTGCATGTCTGTGATACTGCTAGTCTCACACACTGTACCCTGCTATCTGTTTTAACCTTCTCTCAGCACTGTTCTTCCCAGTCTAACAACCCTCCTCCTCAAGAGATTCCTGGTACAGTCATACTATCTTTTTCTCCTCTTTCCCCAAATGTTCAAAATATGATTGCGATGGAACCTTCTGATGCAAGCCTCCTGCTGCCTTCTGTTCAGTCTGACTAGCATAAGAAAAATGAACATCACTGTGTGTACACCCTATTAGCTGTTAACTGACTAGCGCATTCAACTACAGGATGAAAGTCAGCCGCTCTTGGCAGTTTATTTGTAAATGTCACTGAGCAGGACAAGGAACATAATTTGCCTTCTTGGCCCACTGGCTTGATATAATCATCCTCTTGTTCCACTCAGGCAGGTGCTCCCTACTCTACACATCAAGAAGAAAGTACATAGCTAATGGTGTATCTCCTCTCTGTGAAGTGTAGTACAGGGCATAGCTGCAGCTCAGTGAAATTTACAAGGAAAGCAGAGCTTAATTTGTGCTGGGGCTCAACTGCTGCTCTTCTTTTCATGCTGAGGTGCAGTCCCGGCCCTTCTGTCAGTGGTGCACGAGATCATGCTGTGCGAGGGATGCCATCATTATTGCTTGAGCCCCGGCACCTTTTTTTCACAAATTCAGAACTGATAGAAAGATGGGAGATCAGTGTTTCATTTCCAACCCTGATTGGATGGACGTGTCAGGCAGTTGATACCCAACGATTTGTTTAAGTGAAAGCCAGATCAGCTGTTGGTCCTTGTGGGAAGGATCTACAACAAACCTTTATCAGAATTCATTACACTTTTAAAAACATAACTTGGATGTCTACAAACCAAATTAAAGCAACCATATTTCCTGTTGGACACCACAGTTGCAATTTAGTTTGCCCTTAAAGTCACGTTAGAAAACTTATTTCTAGCCTGTTGTACGGTGCACCTGCCATTTTAGGCTGAGCTTAAGCTTCTTCACTTTCATGTGCAGTAAATCCATTCAAAAGGAAAATATATCACATTTAAACCACTGTACTTTAAATATATTTGGAATACTGGAAAATGTAATTGTCTTGCAGTATTAATTCAACTTTTCATTGACATTCTAACAATCTACTATAGCCAGATTTTAAACTGCTAAAGCCACAACAAGGAAATAACTTATTTGCATGGGGGTGTTTAACAAGAAGATTTTGTATGTTAATTCTGAAGAGTATGGTGGCTTCCTAGTACAAAAATAGCTCCAACAGCCCTGATCCTGCAACAGCACACTGACTTCAATGGGTCTCCATGCAGGAGCAGAGGTCTTCCCACAAGAATGCAGTTGGATTGGGCCCCAGTGACTAACCTGTAAGTTACACACATCTGAAATATTTTGTAATGGTAAATCAAATCATTTAGGAGATTCATTTACAGAATTATTACATTAATCAATCTAGAAGCAAAATACCTCAAAACAATTTGTTTACAATTCTAAGGACCAATTCAAACAAAATCTAATATTTTATTACCTATTTAACACCTGGTTTTCAGTTTCTAGTTCTTCTCTCTTTGCTTCCAAGAGTTCAATTTTCTCCTGCAGCCTTTTTTGTTTATTGTCATTGAGAGCCTTTCTCTGTCAAACACACACATTTTGAACACTTAGAAGTTGTGTCAACTGGTTTGATCATTTTGATCAAGTTACATCTACTTTGCACCTGCAATTTCAGTTACAAGATTACATAATTTTTAGCATTTCCTTATGAAGAGATATAATTTTGTTGAAAATGGTGGAAAGAAAACGGAAGCATACATTTGCTTTCCATCCTTTATTTGATTTAGGAAAGTAATGTACCAAAAAAGAGGCTTGGAATCCCCAAATGCCCGGTGTTGAAGGAAACATGCCGTAAAGGAAGGTAAAGCAGCAACACACAAAGTATCCAGTTGTATGGGTAGGTTATAGACAATTTAAACCACCTGTTGGGAAATTGAAACAGCTACTAAGTCTTGTAAGACAATGACAAATTGATAGGCAAATTAGATAAGCTCAACATGTACTGATTGTTTAGAAATATAAATAATACCTTAGAAACTGTAGATTTTATTTTCTCTCTGACATCACTTGCTGATGGCGACATCAATGTTAAACAACTAACATCTGTTTTCTGTTTTATAAAGTAGATGCAGGCATCCTGTATTATGTATTTATGGTGCTTAAAATTACTAACTAATCCTGAGCTTTATTAAGGTCTAAAACATATGGACTTGGAAAAATTAATAACTAATTTCTCCTTTTGTGCTAGCTGTTCCATAACATGCAATTTTAGGGGGAAACAAAAATTTAAAATTCAATATTTCCATTAACAGTATTACCAGCCCCTGGGTGTGTAACAGATAGTTGCTTGGGGAGGAACAATGTACCAAATAGATGTTACTAAAAAGGGAAATGTCATCCTACTGGTATCTAACACAGCATCCTACTGGTTAATTCTTGGTCCATCTCCAAGCTCACCAATAACAAAAAAAAATTTAATTGAACAACATGGCTGGCTCCTATAAAGCATATTACAACTACTGTAATCTCAAATACATGAATTTATGCCTATCTTAAAACACCTGATATATTTTGCTATTATATATATATATATATATATATATAATATATATATATATAAAATGGGTGAACTAAAGTGCCTCGTATTAAATGAGGATATTGATATAATAGGCAGCACAGAAACTTGGTGGAATGAGGATAATCAATGGGACACAGTAATACCAGGGTAAAAATATATCGGAAGGACAGAACAGGTTGTGCTGGTAGGGGAGTGGCATTATATGTGAAATCAAACGAAGTAAAAATCTTAAATGAACCAAACTGTACCATAGAATCTCTATGGATAGAAATTCCATGCTCTAATAATAAGAATATAGCGGTAGGGATATATTACCGACCACCTGACCAGGATGGTGATAGTGACTGTGAAATGCTCAGGGAGATTAGAGAGGCTGTTAAACTAAAAAAATTCAATAATAATAATGCGGGATTTCAATTATCCCCATATTGACCGGGTACATGTCACCTCAGGACGGGATGCAGAGATAAAAGTTTCTTGACACCTTAAATTAATCCTTCTTAGAGCAGCTGGTCCTGGAACCCAACAGAGGAGAGGCAATTCTTGATTTAGTCCTAAGTGGAGCACAGAATCTGGTCCAAGAGATGAATATAGCTGGACCGCTTGGTAATAGTGACCATAATATAATTAAATTTAATATCCCTGTGGCAGGAAAAACACCACAGCAGCCCAACACTGTAGCATTTAATTTCAGAAAGGGGAACTACACAAAAATGAGGTTAGTTAAACAGAAATTAAAGGGTACAGCGCCAAAAGTGAAATCTCTGCAAGCTGCGTGGAAACTTTTTAAAGACAACATAATAGAGGCTCAACTTAAATCTATACCCAATTTAAAAAACATTGTAAGAGAACCAAAAAAGAGCCACCATGGTTAAACAACAAAGTAAAAGAAGCAGTGAGAGGCAAAAAGGCATCCTTTAAAAAGTGGAAGTTAAATCCTAGTGAGGAAAATAGAAAGGAGCATAAACACTGGCAAATGAAGTGTAAAAATACAATTAGGAAGGCCAAAAAAGAATTTGAGGAAGTTAGCCAAAGAATCAAAAAGTAATAGCAATTTTTTTTTTAAGTACATCAGAAGCAGGAAGCCTGCTAAACAACCAGTAGGGCCACTGGACGATCGAGGTTCAAAGGAGCACTCAAGGATGACAAGGCCATTGCAGAGAAACTAAATGAATTCTTCAGTCTTCACGGCTGAGTATGTGAGGGAGATTCCCAAACCTGAACCATTCTTTTTAGGTGACAGATCTGAGGAACTGTCCCAGATTGAGGTATCACTAGAGGTGGTTTTGGAACAAACTGATAAATTAAACAGCAATAAGTCACCAGGACCAGATGGTATTCAACCAAGAGTTCTGAAGGAACTTAAATGTGAAATTGCAGAACTACTAACTCTAATCTGTAATCTATTATTTAAATCAGCTTCTGTACCAGATGACTGTAGGATAGCTAATGTGACACCAATTTTTAAAAAGGGCTCCAGAGGTGATCCCGGCAATTACAGGCCTGTAAGCCTGACTTCAGTACCGGGCAAACTGGTTGAAACTATAATAAAGAACAATATTGTCAGATATATAGATGAACATAATTTGTTGAGGAAGGGTCAGCATGGTTTTAGTAAAGGGAAATCATGCCTCACCAATCTACTAGAATTCTTTGAGGGGGTCAACAAGCATGTGGACCAAGGGGATCCAGTGGATATAGTGTACTTAGATCTTCAGAAAGCCTTTGACAAGGTCCCTCACCAAAGGCTCTTACACAAAGAAAGCTGCCACGGGATAAGAGGGAAGGTGCTCTCATGGACTGGTAACTGGTTAAAAGATAGGAAACAAAGGGTAGGTATAAATGGTCAGTTTTCAGAATGGAGAGAGGTAAATAGTGGTGTCCCCCAGGGGTCTGTTCTGGGACCAGTCCTATTCAACATATTCATAAATGATCTGGAAAAAGGGGTAAACAGTAAGGTGACAAAATTTGCAGATACAAAATTACTAAAAATACTTAAGACCCAGGCAGACTCCAAAGAGCTACAAAAGCTCTTAAAACTGGGTGACTGGGCAACAAAATGGCAGATGAAATTCAATGTTGATAAATGCAAAGTAATGCACATTGGAAAGCATAATCCCAACTATACATATAAAATGATGGGGTCTAAATTAGCTGTTACCACTCAAGAAAGAGATCTTGGAGTCATCAATGATCTGGAGGATGGCGTGGATTGCACCCTCAGCAAGTTTGCAGATGACACTACACTGGGAGGAGTGGTAGATACACTGGAGGGTAGGGATACAGAGGGACCTAGACAAATTAGAGGTTTGGGCCAAAAGAAATCTGATGAGGTTCAACAAGGACAAGTGCAGAGTCCTGCACTTAGGACGGAAGAATCCCATGCATTGCTACAGACTAGGGACCGAGTGGCTAGGCAGCAGTTCTGCAGAAAAGGACCTAGGGGTTACAGTGGACAAGAAGCTATATAAGTCAACAGTGTGCCCTTGTTGCCAAGAAGGCTAACAGCATACAGGGACGTGATTGTTCTCCTCTATTTGGCATTGGTGAGGCCTCATCTGGAGTAGTGTGTCCAGGTTTGGGCCCCACACTACAAGAAGGATGTGGAAAAATTGAAACGAGTCCAGCGGAGGGCAAAAAAAAATGATTAGGGGGCTGGAGCACATGACTTATGAGGAGCGGCTGAGGGAACTGGGATTATTTAGTCTGCAGAAGAGAAGAATGAGGAGGGATTTGATAGCTGCTTTCAACTACCTGAAAGGGGGTTCCAAAGAGACTGGATCTAGATTGTTCTCAGGGATAGCAGATGACAGAACAAGGAGTAATGGTCTCAAGTTGCAGTGGGGAAGGTTTAGGTTGGATATTAGGAAAAACTTTTTCACTAGGAGGGTGGTGAAGCACTGGAATTGGTTACCTAGGGAGGTGGTGGAATCTCCTTCCTTAGAGGTTTTTAAGGTCAGGCTTGACAAAGCCCTGGCTGGGATGATTTAGTTGGGGATTGGTCCTGCTTTGAGCAGGGGGGAGGGATAGCTCAGTGGTTTGAGCATTGGCCTGCTAAACCCAGGGTTGTGAGTTCAATCCTTGAGGGGGCCACTTAGGGAGTTGGGGCAAAAAATCAGTACTTGGTCCTGCTAGTGAAGGCAGGGGGCTGGACTCGATGACCTTTCAAGGTCCCTTCCAGTTCTAGGAGATAGGATATATCCATTAATTTTTTAGATGACCTCCTGAGGTCCCTTCCAACCCTGTGATTCTATGATTGTGGATAGTTCTCTGAAAACATCCACTCAATGTGCAGCGGCAGTCAAAAAAGCAAACACAATGCTGGGAATAATTCAGAAAGGGATAGATAATACCATGTTGCCTCTATATAAATCCACGGTACGCCCACATCTTGAATACTGTGTGCAGATGTGGTCGCCCCATCTCAAAAAGATATATTGGAATTGGAAAAGGTTCAGAAAAGGACAACAAAAATTATTAGGGGTATGGAACAGCTTCCGTATGAGGACATACCTGGACTTTTCAGCTTGGAAAAGAGACGGCTAAGGGGAGATATGATTGAGGTCTATAAAATCATGACTGGTGTAGAGAAAGTAGATAAGTGTTGTTTACTACTTCTCATAACACAAGAGCTAGGGGTCACCAAATGAAATTAGTAGGCAGCAGGTTTAAAACAAATAAAAGGAAGTATTTCTTCACACAACGCACAGTCAACCTGTGGAACTCCTTGCCAGAGGATGTTGTGAAGGACAAGACCATAACAGGGTTCAAAAAAGAACTAGATAAATTCATGGAGGATAGATCCATCAATAGTTATTAGCCAGGATGGGCAGGAATGGTGTCCCTAGCCTCTGTTTGCCAGAAGCTGGGAATGAGCGACAGGGGATGGATCACTTGATGATTACCTGTTCTTTTCATTCTCTCTGGGGCACATGGCATTGGCCACTGTAGGAAAACAGGATACTGGGCTAGATGGACCTTTGGTCTGACCCAATAGGACCATTCTAATGTACATAGATGCTGTCATTAAAATGTCAATATAAAAAAATAATGCTGCACGCCCAAATTGAAAGCTGAGCTTTCTCCCTCTTCATAAGCACTGAAGTAAATAAGAGTCAACATGCCTTTTTTTGAGCAACAGCAGCCCGGTGTAGTTTCTCTTTCACCTGGTCATACTTCTCTTCTCTTTCTGTGATGCGCTGAATAAATTTATGCTTTTCTTCCAACCACTCTACATGTCTGTCTTCTAACATCCTAGGAGAACAACATTGTAAAGAGTGGTGGTGTAAACAAAACGCTGGATTAATTCTTTTTAATAAATGTCAGCATCTAGGATCCCTGACATATACACTTTATTTCACCCACTCTTTCCTTCTTGAACCATATGTTTGAAGTATCTAACTTAAATTTGAACTGTTCTCGAAGTTCTGCAAATTTGGACTTCTGAATTCATAACTTCATTATTGGCTTAATTCCAATAAAATGGCTAACTTTGTAAACAGATTCCAATAAAACAGATGGCTGTACAGGCTTTTTCTTTGGATTAGCCTTTTGATAGTCCATAAATTATGTGCACAGGACAAATTGCTGCCTTTACCTGTGGGAGCCACATTAGAATGAAGTGGAGAGTGGCTGGAGCAATGCCAAACCCTTTTCAAATATAGAAACAAGCCATTTTTGCCTTTATCCACTGCAAAAATTGCTACAACAGAAGCCATAGGGGAAATCCTGGCCCCACTGAAGTCAATGGCAGTTTTGCCAGTGACTTCAATGGGACCAGAATTTAATCCCACACATATTTCTTATTTCAACAAGGGTCAATTGTAACTGGTAAGTGAAAAGAAAATGGACACGTATCCATATTGTTAAAGTTATCACAAGACAGAAATCCATTTTTACATCCGGAAGTTGAAACTAAAAGCACACTCTAAGAATTCTCATTTTTCTCACGATATGGTTAAGATCTGGACAAAGAGGGGCTTTATTATATTATCAGTAAGTCATAGCAATGGTGAGAAATACTATTAAAGAACTACATGCAAGCTTGAAAAAAAAAAAACTGAATTAAACAGACAAAAAAGTAAATCATACTTCTCTGCTTCTAGCTGAGCTTTTTCTGCTTGACTTCTTGCATTTCGACATTCTTGTTTTAATCTCTCCACCATTTCCTTCAGCTTTTGATTAGAGTCAAGCAAGTCATTTTCAGACTGAGAAAGTGAGGCCACTTGGAGTTGCATATCATGAATTTGCTACCAAAGAAAAATATGTTTTTATTTGAGGGGAAAATATGAACAAGTGACAAGTAATTTGGGATAATGGGAGGGAGGAGGAGGCAGTTGCCAGGATGTCTGGCCATTTGTCCCATTATGTCTTTGTAGTATGTACGTCTTTTTTGTCCGCTCTCTGGAACTTTTACAATATGTTTTCTGTAGATAAGGCAGGAGGTTTCCACTGAGGTTACAAGGCAGGAGAGATAGCATAAGGCAAAAGTCATTACTCTTTAGTATCCCTTGCTAGAGCTCTTGCAGAAATTACAGAGCCCAGCAGTGAGACATTGACACTCATAAAATATTGAAGCATCACAGACAAATTTAACAGAATAAGTAACTCGATTATCCAAACTACGAAGGGCCAGGATTGTGGCCCAACCTTACATGACTGTGAAGGGGAGTACAACCTCTGCACCTCCCTGCATGTCAGCTGCAAGTGCAAAAGAACATATGAACAGTTTTCTTTAATGTGAACACACATTTTCCCAGACAATTAACTCAAAAATCACTAAATGGATTTTCCTCAAACTCTAAAAAACAAAAAGCAGACTCATCTCTGGACTGTAAACAAGTATGAGAACTTTCAGTCCAAAGAGAATTTTTTTCTGGGGAAAAGTTACATGTGCCTGAAGACAAGAGCACATAATATGTGCGCCTCTTCACCCATAACTACAATGCTATTATGAAATTTTACAAGAGCAGAGTAAGTTGCAGGAGTTTTGGAGTATTAGACAACACTTAAATCTGGTAACTAATTGGAGCTCAGGTAAGTGCCAGAATTCTAAATTTAACTCTGTTTCATAGCGGCAACTGTGAAAAATATTATGTATTGTCTTTTGAGTTAGAAGATCCCTGGGTAACGAAACTTGAGCTTTATTTCCCCTCCATACTTATCTGGAAGAGAGCATTTGCCAACAGGGCACAGCACTCACTCACTCATGAAGTTAATGGGTGGGATTTTCAGGAGTGTTAAGTGTTGGTCTGACTGCTCCCATTGAAGTAAATAAGAATTTTACCTGATTTCAACAGGAACAGTTTCGCCAACACTTGAACATTTTTGATAATTCCACCCAAACTGTCTTTGGTATGAGAGGTGGGCTTTTTTTAAGACACTTACTAATATCCTCACTCTTAACTAGTCTTTTTCACTGTAGACATCTACCTATTTTCCCTATCAGCTGAAACTGTGATTGGTAAATTCACTCTGGCTAAATAATAGCCAGCTTTTTCAAAGACATAGCTCCATAACTGGATTCTAGGGAAGCATGAAATATGTACTGCAGTCTCCTTTCCTTTAAGGATCTGTTAGGTTCATTAGTTACACAGGAGACAACATGGCCTATCAGGAGTAAGAAGACTTAAGATTGTATTTTCAACACTGTTACCAGGGCCAGCTCTGGCTTTTTTGCCGCCGTAGGCAAAAAAGCCCCCGCCGCCCCCACCACCCCCCAGCACGGCAGGGGAGGGCGGCGAGCCCGGCCGGGGCTCTCCGCTCTCCCCGACCGGCCGGAGCGCCAGGGGGAGGGCGGAGAGCCCTTGGCGGCCAGAGCGCCGGGGGGAGGGCGGCGAGCCTGGCCGGGGCTCTCCGCTCTCCCCGGCGGCCAGAACACTGCAGGGAGGGCGGCGAGCCCGCTGCGGCTCCGCTCTCCCTGGCGGCCGGAGCGCCGCGGGGAGGGCGATGAGCCCAGTCGCAGCCCCGCTCTCCGGCCGGAGCGCCCCGCCGCCCCCCTCCAGGCGCCGCCCCAAGCACATGCTTGGTGGGCTGGTGCCTGGAGCCGGCCCTGACTGTTACCAATTCATGGTGCAGTTTTGGCAAGCCACTTCACCTGAGTTTAAACACTTGAAGTACCTTGGGTGAAAGGTGCAATGTAAATACAAAGTATTACTGAGAAACAGTTTATAAGTGTATGGAACCTGGATCTCCAGTTAACAGTATTTATTAGACCAAAGGACCAGCAACATTCTGAATTCTGAAATCCTTAGAATACATAAAGAGAAATAAGTAGCTGAAGCAAAAGATTGTGATAAATCCATTTATAAGGGCTCAGAAAAGACCGTCCCTCTATCCATTTTTGCCCTTTGAGTTTTAAAGGGCATTGAAAAAAAGAAGTTTCACTATGAACATAAGAGTTCTTTCATTTAAATGAATAAAGGGATGAAGACCATTCACAGTAAAATATCACAGTATGATACAAACTCTTACCTGTTTAAGATCAGCATTTTCACTTTTCTCTTTTTCTAACTCCTCAGACTGAATAATTTGCTGTTGAAGTTTTAACCTAAAATTTAATATAGGTATCAATATTTTTGTCTAATTAAAATGTAACTATTCTAAAACATAACTATTCAGCTTGGTAGTAGTTAAACAGATAAGTCTGTTTAACCATTTGAAAGGCTGATACTCAACAATACACTCTTGCGTCAATTATAAAATAAGAAGTCATGTTTCTACTGTATGACTAGACTGCACTAATGTCATAGATTCCAATGATTTGCCTGATTTTATATATCCTTGATTTGACACTGGGGTTTATACATGTGGGTATGTGGATGTGATAAACAGTTGTAGAACTCCACTGAGAACTTTGACAACTGTTAAGTTAAAACTTGTACAGAACAAGGTGCTTACAGAGTAGGAGCAATCAAATTAGACCTCTTGATTTGCCACATGTTCACAAAAGCTCAATTCTAGGGAAAGAGTGGTTTCTGGTGCTGTAGGCCTGAACCAGCAGCCACCAAGAGATCAGTTTTTAACATTTAACTAATTGAAAATGACTTTAAACAGCATTTATTGGGGGGTGGGGGGAGAAATTCTGCATAAAATTCTGTAACCCATGACTCCTCTGAGCTTTGTTTTTTGAATTACAAATTCTTTGTTTTCCTTTTTATATGAAGAAGCTACAATTTTTTTATTTTTATTTTAAAACACTTTGCATATTTTAAACAAGGTTTTTAAAAAACGCCACATACATTACCTAACATTCTGAAGCTCCCTTCTGCTAGACTCTTCTGCCAGCTGCATAACACGCAATTTCTCTTCATACTCATCCTTTTCAGATTGCCTCCAAGCATCTTGTTCCACTTTCATTTTCTCTAACTCAGCTAATCTGTTCTCAAGTTCTAACCTGAAACAATGTTCAATATTTACACAAGAACTATTACAAGGACAAAGTGACAGCAAAAATGTTCAGTTGAATATAACATTAAACAAGTTAAGTCATGCTGTCCCCTACCCTTTTTAAAAACAGAGCAGTAAACAAGTGAACATACTTTTCTTCCTGTAATGCTGCAAGTTTTTGAAAGCCTTCTTCTTTGGCAGCTTGTACTTTACGAATGAGCTCACGATCCTTTTCTACTAAAAGCACTTTGTGGCGTTCAACTGCTGCCTTGAGAATTTCATTGTCTGAATGCAATCCTGTTTTAAACAATATATACATCAGCATGATGAAATATTTAAAGTATTAAAATCATTTTACAAACACGGATAAAATGGAACTGTGAATCCACTTTTCACTCACCCATAATATTCAAGCATTTTAATGAGATAAAATGCTCAAGACTTTTACTACTGTTAAATAAAAATACTTTAAATAGAAAACACATGTAGAGACTAATTCTTATGTAATCATGACTAAATATTTTTCTAAAAATACTAAAATAAGCAGCACAGACTTGGATTAAGAACTGAGTCTGCAATTTAGATTTAGTAAACAGCCATATTAGCTAAACAAATGCCCCTGGATAAAACATTCCATTGTGGATATGGAAGGGTTAAGTGAACAAATGCATTATACTTAGAGAGTACAAGCTGAAGTTGATGGGAAACTAATAATAAATCACTAATGGAACTGTAATGATCTAGTTAGAGCACATCCCCTGTTTTAATTCACTAAAACAAAATGGAGTGGAATTGGGAAGAATACTGACTATATTGAAAACCTAAAACTCTAATGTACCAGAGACCAGTAATAATGGAAAACAGATTTGTGGAAACATCAACAGTAGTGGAAAAGTTACTGCCCCATGTGATTCTGAATGATTAAATAATATGGCTGAAAGAAGAAGAGTGAAATGAGAAAACTAATGTGATATTCAGGGCCCATGTACTCAATGGCAAGATGGACCTGACCCTTGATTTATTAGGCAATCCAGTAAGAAACTGAAAATTCTGCAACAGCTTCAGGTAAGTTTAAAAGTGAAGGGGTTTGTGGAATGAAATATCAAAATAAATAATGAAGTAAGTATGTTATTTATTTTAATATTAAATTAACTGTTTTTACTTTGTTCTGACATTTTCAGTTTTCAATAGACTACACATTTTTGTATTGACAGCAAATAACTATATTTCTAGAACTTTGGGGAGGAAGCTAGAGGTTTTGACAGCTTCTTTTTTTCATCCAGGAAAATGAGGGCTATATTTTGGGATTGTTGGATAAAGTGAATGTCTGCTAAAATGATCAGCTGTGAAACAGTTAACTGTCTTGATATTTAAATTGCCCCCAGGAAGCTTTGGCATTCACACCCCTATAAGCTGTTATTTCAGACTGTCAACCTATTCAGGCAGATAACAAATGCACTGATTACATTCCAACTGTTTTTGGAAGATTTTCTTCAAAACAATGAAGGCTAGAAACAATCGTTTTTCTTCAAATGAAAGCCTAGCTCCTTGAGCCTAACTCTGTGGCAAATTTCATAGAATCATGGAATACAGGAGGTCCCATTGGCAGTCTTCTGTAGACATTAAAACCTTAGTTCAAGCACTAATTATAACAGAGAGAAAAAGAAACTGACTATACAATTGGCAATATTCAATAAAATTGACAAGGCAAATTATCTAAATATGTGAATTAGCACAGATTATGCTAAAATGTGTCCTGGGTTCATTAATTTACATAAACTGGGAGTCATTCATACACAGCTTCTACACCTGGATTAGGGGATACGGCAATGTTTTTAGACAGCAAATTCATTTTCAGATTATCTATTGTAGTGCAGATAGTCAATGTGTTTCTTCTGAGGTTAATTTTTATTGTAGTGTGGTAGGAGCTGCAGGTTACAACAGAAACCATTAGAAACTAATTGCACATTACCATCCATTTCACTTTGAATCTTGTTTCTCTCTCTTTCTACCTCACTCTTGGCTCTTGCTGCCTCCAGTCTGACATTAGTTACTTCTAATTTGTGTGAATGCTTAAGTTCATCTACCTGTTAATTAGAAAATAAAACCAAATCACTAATAATATACCCTAGCAATTATTTTGATCCAAGCTTTTCATATGGCATCTTCCTTACAAGAAAATACTTTAAACAATGGCAATCCGTGCTTATTCTAGAAGATACACTTTGTGAAATAAATTCTTTTCATCCACTGTTTTTCATATAGCCACTTCAGAGTAACCAAGTGTCCAGGTTAAGGATGCTATATATCCCATATCAACATAGCAACAATAAGGCTATTAATACACTGTGACTCCCCAAATTATACTCCATTGCCACTTTCTTTCCATAAATCCTTCAAATTGAAGACACTGGAAATTCTTGGATAAATTACAAGTAACTGTTAATATGAGTTACTGCACATGCTTAATTCTGCACTATACGTCTCCATAGGAAAGATGTACTCAGAGCAGACACTCAACCAGTTACCAAGGTATCATATACTAGAGTTTTAATACGTCATGTTGAACCAGCCAGCTATAAGCACCAGACTGGAAATCTTCCTTTTTAGAAAAAGCTTGTGCTCTTTTATGTATTGTGATTTTCCACACCCAATGAGACAGATTGTATTTCTAAACAAAATGTGGTATCTTGATATTTTCAAGCGTACACCTCCTACAAGCAGTTGTCCCAAAATTGTGCAGCTTGTGCTGAGAAGGCTGCTCACTTGAAGTGCCTCATTAAGACATTGGTCCAGTATAATGGACCTTGATGCTTTCTCCATTTTACGTCAATCTGCCAGCACTCTAGCTTTCATGTTTTTCCATCCTGGCTTAAACCTCCTCAACTTCTAGCCAAAATGAAGCTACAGAGATTTTAACAATATGAAGTGATACAAAAATACAGGAAAAATAACAAATAATAATAATTCCACTGAAAAAGTCCCTATTCAGTTCAGTCTGACAGTAACTTACAGCATCTAGAAATCATAGCTTGCTACACAACTTTCTTAAAAATCCAATTGTTCATAGTTTTAAAATAATTTGATACCTGATGCATCTTTTCTGAAACTGTAATGCATAAAAACTGCCTCATAAAAACAGTAGTTTTAAATAGGACATCAAATCACTAAAGGCAATTACTTCCTACATGAAACTTTCTATAGTTTAGGCTCTTACTGCACAGTAATTACATGGTCAGTGAGAATTAAATATCTAGAGGAAAAGCACTTATAATGAAAATCCATTTGCAATGACAAATATAATTACAATCTGCTAGCACTTACAAGTTGTAAATGGTTAAGAATGACACAGTAGCTTATTAAGTAACTACATTGTGGATTTGGATGCTTAAATATGAAGTTGAGAACATCTCAGGGCAATTCAGCAAATACTTAAGGAGCTTTCTGAGGCACAAACCCAAGGAGGATACATAAATCACTTGTGCACTCAAAGGACCTGTGTTCTGAAATAAGCTTGTCTGGATGCACAGTGGGAGCGGAGCACAGCGCTGGAGGGACTTACTGCACACATTCTTGGAGCAGATCTGCTTAGGTGGAAGTTTCTACCCTCCAAAAACAGTACTATGTAGTCAAATTCCTCAGCACTCCTGCGGTCTTACAGAGAACAAAAATTAACACAACCCCAAGGCGCCATACCCCTTGTACAGCTTCTGATGGGGAGCAAACGAGACACAAAAGGGATGGAAGGGCCAGGCTACTGTTTTAACTCATTTTTTCCTCTTTTTATTTTTATTTTTTAAAGTTACCTGGCGCTCACTTTCCAGGACATGGGCTTTCTTCTTATTTGTTCATACAATGCCTACCTTGATGGAGCCCTGATCCCCAGATGCTACTATAATATAAATAATTAGATAGATCAAATAATTAGATAAGTAAGAACTAGGTGTGGCAAGTTACATGAGTTGGCATGTGGGTTGTTTGGTGTTTTGTCCTTTTCCTACAGAAGGTTAGAATCATACTGCCTGGGAAAATGTAATTCAGGGCTGAGGTTGTCTTTTTGGTTAATTTGTATTGTGAGTACTGGGTGTGCTTAAGCTCATCTTGAACAAGTTCTGGGATTATTAAATTTGGACTGTGATTTGTTCCATCTTTCACATTTCTTGTGTTAGATAGCTTTTTGAGCCATACTATGGTGATAACAGCTGTTAAATAATGTAATATTTTGAATGGATGTGTTTATTATTTTGGGGGGTATGTTCCAAAAGGCAATAGATAAGTGTTTCAGTTTTTGTTTGTTGATTTAAAAAAACAAAAACAAAACTGTGTTGAAGGTATTCTGCATGGTATTGTACACCTTTACCCCGATATAACGCGACCCAATATAACATGGGTTCGCATATAGCGCGGTAACCCCAGGGCTCCGGCAGCGGGGCTTGGGCGGCACTTTAAAGGGCCCGGGACTGCGGCTGCTGCAGGGAACCCCGGGCCCTTTAAATCACCACTGGAGCCCTGCCGCCGCTACCCCGGGGCTGCCGCAGTGGGACTCGGGCAGCAATTTAAAGGGCCAGGGCTCCCCATAGCGGCCGGAGCCCTTTAAATCATCGCTGGAGCCCTGCCGCCGCTACCCCGATATAACGGGGTTTCACCTATAACGCGGTAGGGATTTTTGGCTCCCGAGGACCGCGTTATATAGGGGTAGAGGTGTATGTGTGTGATCAGAAGTTGCGGATCTGTGGGCAATCTCAGAAATGGTGTGGGCAGTCTAACCACAAACTCTCCAGTAGAGTATTAAGGTTTACTTTGTATTATTATTTCCATTGGAATTCTCTCCAAGATGCACTGGGAAGAAGCGGTGAGGATTGTTAAAATAATGTCTGTCCACGCATCCTCTTCTCTGGGACTAGAATTCTGAGTATATTTTCTGATACACAAATGAGAAGTAAAGCTAACATTAAGTCAAATAATATTTCTGGAAAATTAAGTTGTTTTGATTGTTAGAAGAAAGTCACCAGATGGGCACTTTTTAGAGCAATTCCAGGAGGAAAGGAAAATACAAAACATAGAGTTCTTTACTTCAGTCTATAAAATGAATGATTCATTAGACAAGTAACACTGTTCTTGTTCTTCGCTAGAATTATTTTAAAAATCACCAGAAACCAAATCTTGATAATCCAATTTTCTTTTTTGTTTCAAGTTCTGGCACTTTTGTTTAGATTTGTCACTATAGCCTGATGATTTTTATTAAAGTAAGCAATCACAACCCTTATTTGATAGCACCAGACATATTTTATTAGCGGTTGGAAAAATCTAGTATGGTACTAATGTGGCTCTTCAAGCACCACATCATAAAAAAACAAAAACAAACAAAAATCCACAGAATGAGATAAGGATAAAAATCTCAGACTCCAAAGACACTTATAGTGATGATGTTTTTCTGTAGCAGTACAGACTCCATATCTATCCTGCCAGCTATAATTAAAGAACATTTATTACGGGTACCATAGACTTTGAAAGGGCAGAAAAGAGTTCTATATTAAAAATAAAGTGAAACATGGTTTTAAAAAGTCAGATGAAACTGCCTTTTCTTCAGCTTGAAACCAGATGTGAAAATATATTGCTGATACCACAAAAGCACTTACTTTAGTGGCCAAGGCACTGATTTCTCGTTCAGCTTTGTGTAATTTGCTGGTTAAGAGAGTATTCTGCTCATTACTCAGCTGTAGTTCTTTTTCAATGCGATCAATCTGGAGCTTAGCTGACTGCTTTTCTGCCTTGAATAAAAAAAGTATTTATAAGCTTTTTGGAGCAGCAACTATCTCTTGATATGCATTTGTACATTGTATAGAACAATAGGGTCCCAATCTTGATAAGGGCTTTTTGGGCACGACTGGCTTACATATTTATATTAAGGCTGCGTATATTAAGGTCATGGAAGCCATGGAGTCAGTGACTTCCGTGATTTCTGCAGCAGCCGGTGCTGGCTCAGGGCCAGCAGCAGCAGTTTGGGTGTGTGGGGGGGCCTCAGGGCTAGAGTATGGTTGGAGTGTGGGGGTGCTCCCAGGATCCCACAGACATGTCCCTGCAGCTCCTAGGCCACGTGGGGCAAACTGTGGCCCGTGGGCTGCTTCCAGCCCGTCAGACATTTTTATCAGGCCCGCGAGCTCCCGCTGGGGAGTGGGGTCTGGGGCTTGCCCCGCTCTACCTGCCCAGTGCTCCCCAGCCCCCGACTCTCTCTTGATGAGCACCATCTTCTGGCACGTAGAGCCACACTGCGCAGGCACAACTTCACCACGCTGTTTCCAGGATCGGAACCTCACCCCTACACAGCAGCCCCCCCACGCGACAGCTCTCCCAATCCCCTCCCGGTCTCCTATAGAAGCACCCTTTAGAGCCTAGAAACCGCCCAGGGGCTGCACCGATCCCAGCTAGGGTGCCTCCACTCGTGGCAGTGGTGTCACTGCTGGCAGGGCCCCTAGGAGTCTCCAGCACCACCTTTATAGAGCATCCCCCACCCGATGAGTCCCCCCTGCCCCCACCTCGGTAACATCCCTTATAGAGCCTTCTCATGCTACACCCCATAGAGTCCCCCTCTCCCACCAGGCATTCATGGCCCGCCATACAATTTCCATACCCAGATGCGGCCCTCAAGCCAAAAAATTTGCCCACCCCTGTCCTAGGCAGAAGGCCCAGGGGGCTCCGCGCGCTGCCTGCGCCCGCAGGCGCTGCCCCTGCAGCTCCCATTGGCTGCAGTTCCTAGCCAATGGGAGCTGTGGAGCTGGCGCCTGTGGCGGGAGCAGTGCGCGGAGCCCCCCTGGCCGCCCCTCCCCTAGGATCTGCAGCGACAAACTGATTGGAGCCAGGTAGGTAGCCTGCCAGCCCCTGCCAAACCTCCCCTGCCCCCAGCAGCGGGGGGGGGGGGTCTCCAGGCTGTGCACTGCTGCCCGCCTCCCTCTCCCAGCACCAGCGGGGGTCCCAGCCCACCCCCCCAGAGCTCTTGCAGCCCCCCGGCCCAAGTTTTAGTTAGGGGTATATAGTAAAAGTCATGGACAGGTCACGGGCCGTGAATTTTTGTTTACTACCCCTGACCTGTCCATGACTTTTACTAAAACTACCCGTGATTAAAACATAGCCTTAATTTATATTTAGTAGAGGTTTGCTGTACAATATGTTCTCTCTAATTTACCCAGAGTAACACTTGTTCTCCAACTACATTGCCCCCACAGACTCTTATGCACCCCCCACGCCCCTAAGCCTTCTGGAGGCAAGAGGACCTGAAGCTTGGTTAGACGGGTCAGGTATTTATACCCTCCGCCAGTAAACTGTTAGGCTGTAAGGACGTGTGTGTCTGCAAGCAGTGCTCCAAAAAGGCTTTTGTGGATGCACACCCCAGCACAAAACACCTACAGTGTACCTCTGTAAAGTCAACATCGTAAAGGATAAATAACAGTTTCAGTACTCTGCATTTTGTGGTGTTGGAAGACAGCACTTTAGTAAAATTTCAAGTAGATGCTTAACCCAGGTCATTGACTTCAATCAAGCTATTTTTCTCCAATAAGATTTAAACAATTACTAAATTAAGATTAGAGTAGATCTGAGCATACGGAAGTGCATTTTGATAGGTCTTTAAGATGCCTTGCCCATTTAAAACAAATCTACCACAACGTTTGTCAAGTTGTGGTCTTCAGTACGACTTGATGGTAATCCACAGCAATATGGCAGGCATCTAGTGCTGGTTCTTCCTTGTTTCTAGCTGCTTTTACAGAGATACAGCTCACTGCAGTGTAGGGTGACCAGATAGCAAGTGTGAAAAATTGGGACAAGGGGTGGAGGGTATACAAGACAAAGCCCCGAATATCAGGACTGTCCCTATAAAATCGGGACGTCTGGACAAACTATTGCAGTGAAGAGCTTGGGCACCTATAAAAGTAAGATGGAAAGGAAGCCAGTCTAACTATGGGCTGCAGCTACACAGCAGGAAGAAAAGCCATCACAGACTGGAGCTGCCAACAGGCGAAAAACAGGAACCATTCATGGGACGGAAGCCCTCAAGCCAGTGAGGAATGTTCAGTGGAGAACTGAAACCTGAAAAGCATGCACAGAAGAGGATAGATGGAACCTTTCAGTAGGGAAGTATGTGCAAGGGGACAAGAAAAGGAAGCTAGGAAGTTGTGGCAACATGTGCAGGAAACATGAGTACCACCTGGTAGGCAAGCAAGAAGAAAACACATGAACACAACAAGTGAGTGGGGCTGCTTAAATGAAGAGCAAAAGTAGATCATATAATTAACATTTTTTAAAAGGACAAAACTTTTATTGTATTAAAGACAATTAACACACACACTATCCCCACATTAAATTCCAGTTAAGCAACTACAGTTCACATATGCATCTTAAGTGACTGCAAATAGAACTGTGGGTGAGAAGGTACATGGTCTGTGAGAATCTTTCAGTTAAGATGTAGCCCATTCTATGACAGAATTTGAGAAGTGATGACTTAAAAATAAAATCAGAAGTATAGAGTAAGTTCAGAAAATGCAATTTTTTTAATTCTTTAGCATGTCCATGGAACCAGAGCCTACTGGCCAAAAACTTCCAAATTTATTTCCTGTGTTCCCCTGGCAGACAATTAAACTTCTTACCTCCAGAGATCTCATTGTAGTCTGCATCTCCGCCAACTGCCGTACCTGTATTCTTTGCACATTATCTGCTTGCACACCACTATTTTCTCTCTCTGCTCTTAGTTCTGCTACCTCAGCTTCTAAACCTTTTAATTTTTGATGTAGTTGAGCCTTTTCTCTTAGGAGTACCTCCACTCGCTTATTGTCTCTTGTGGGATCAACACTAAGCAGCTGATTATGCAGTTCTTCTTTATCTCTATCCAGTCTTGCTATCTAATAGTTATACAGAAAAATATACAACCGTTACATTATTTAGCTGTCAGTCACCAAAATAATACCCAAGTTGATAATTAAGGAAAAGATCAGCAATTTGCATTAAACAGGGAAATCTTTCTGCATTTAAATGTTAATTTATTTTCTTTGAGTAATAAGATCCACAGAACCACTATAATCAGACTTCAGCCTGCTGGCTGTGCAGGGGACAAAAGTAGGCCTGTCAGTGCCTGCAATTAAAAACCCAGGGCCGGCCCGAACCAGCTGACACGGGCTCACAGGGCTCAGGCTAAGGGACTGTTTAACAGTGTAGGTGTTCAGGATCGGACTGGAGCGAGGACTATAGGACCGTGAGGTGGAAGGATCCCAGAGCTCAGGCTGTAGCCCAAGCCCAACCGTCTACACCGCAATTAAACAGCCCCTTAACCTGAGCCTCACAAGCCCAAGTCAGCTGGCCTTTGCCAGCTGCAGGGTCTCATTGCAATGCCCTCAGTCAATGGCAGGAAGGACTGTCCCTCCCTCAAGAGCCTGCCAGTTGAGACAACTTCCTCTGAGGTTAGGTCTACACTAGAAAGGTAAGTTGACCTACGTAATTACTGTGGTGGTTCATGTCCACACTACCCTCCTTCTGTCAGTGGTGTGCATCCTCACCTGAGCGCTTCCACTGACTTACGAGGGGCGGAAGGGAAGCGGGGGGGGGGGGGGGAGAGGAGTCTGAGAGCCTAGCTGCCCCTCTGGGCTCTCCGTTTCCAGCTCCCTGCCGCCAGGAGGCAGCCGGGCTCTGTGTGGGGAGGGCGCAGCCTGGCTGGGAGCAGGGAGCCCGGGGCAGCAGGAGCCCCCAACCCGCCCTGCGGCTTTCTTGTCAATTTCACGGTTCCAGCATGGATCCGTGAAATTGACAAGAATGACAGCCAACAGCAGATGTAAGAAATGTAGAGTCTACATGGACGCTGTGTCACCCTAACTACACCGACATAAGCCTTACACCTCTCGTGGAGGTGGAGTTATGATGTCGGTGTAGTAGGGCACATACATCGGAGGGAGCAAGGCTGTAGCGTGTACACTGACATAATTAGGTTGACGTAAGCTACCTTAGTTCGACCTAACTCTGTAGTGTAGACCAAGCCTCAGTTTCTGATTTTAGAAAGTTGGATGAAGTTATTCTGCTTTAGCTATACGATGGAAAACAAAGCAAAGCAGTCTCTGGAATAGGAGAGTATGGGAATAATTTCACCTATAATTCTAACAGTAATGTAGGTATAAAACTAGAGAGCTTCAAAAGCTAACCAGCAATTCTTGAATCTTAAAAAGCTGATAAAACAGAAGACCTGAATTATTTTGAGTCTCAAGACTTGATTGTGCATATCATAACTGATTTACATATTGTATATCTCAGAATAAATATCAGTTTTGGCTAAGTTTTCAGGTAAGCACCTAAATATAATATGCTAGAGGTACATGCAGGGGTGCAACTGGTAATTATATACTTACTTGTGCATATATTTGCATTTGCAGTTTAGACTCTCTCTTGAAAACTTGGCCCCAAACAAAACAGATCATTAAATAGTTTACCCAAGAGCTAAATCATAGGTGAGGACAAATTTTGAAACAAGTTAAGGGGTCAATAGTAGAGAGATCATGAATTTTTGTCAGAAATGGCAGACAAAAGGATATTGAGAAGTTTGAAAACGGACAAGTTTTCCTGATCACCTCAATATTTTCTGCTGCCCTTTTCTTGGGTTCGTAATCAGATATAGAACATAAATTCTATATTTACTTTTATTTAGGCTATTTGAGCTATTAAGTTAGGACTGAAGATGATGTATTGATCTATTTAAATCTCTCAAAGCTAATAAAAAAGGTTTGCAAGCATTGTTATAGGCTGTCATTTAAAGACAAGCGTATTATTTGCAATAGGACTACTGATATTTCTACAAGATATCTTGAACAAATTGATGTAAATTGTTACGGACCAGACCATGACAAAACTTTAAGAGAGCTGACAGTACTCTGATAACCAACATATTACAAGAATACAAAAAAAGATGACAAAATTATACTAAAATGACAAAAACCTTATTAAAAAAATCTTTTTATAAATACCTCAAATATTTCACTTTTATAGTTGTTTAACTTATATTGCATATTCTCTACCTACCTCAGAGTCGTACTTTATTTTTTTCTCTTCTAAAATACGTGCATGTTCTTCCTTCTGGTGTTCAAATTCTGATTTGAGGAAGGTATGTTCATAACGAAGTTTGTTATATTCTGTTCTGTATTTTTCTACCTCCTAAATTAATTAGGAAGTAGAACACAGATTCACTCAAGCACAAAAGTAGATAAACATATAAAAGTAAATACTTAATACTTTTGTTTTATTTCATGACTCATCCATGGAATTTCCCCATCATCTTTTCGTAAGTCATTTTTATACCAAGCAAAATACCAAACAAACCCTCCCTCAATCTAGACAAAGTGAAGTTAAATACGTCTTACTACTTACTTCATCTAGTTTCCGAAAGCGTTCTCTCATAGGGGTTTCCAATTCATGTTGTATTTGTGCTTTTAACAACTCAAGCTTTTGAGGAGTTAGTACCTGACATGTACAGAAAACAAATGTACTGTAAAATAACTAACCAACCAGTCATATTAAGCAATTTATATTGGAAAACAAATGTTGGGCAATGAAACATTTCACATGCAATTTTTAAAAAGTTCTTTATGAACATATGCCATTTATAAAATGTATTTTTAATTTTTTCCTGCTTTCATAAAAAGCTAATCAATTCAACTATAATTGATGTGCTTTCTTAGGGAAAAATTTAACATTGCAAAGGTTAACAATATTAAATATATATGAAATAAATCCAGCCTCTACATCATCTTTGAAGTTCTTCAGATAAGGTACACTCAGGATCCTTACAATACATTCACTACCTTTTTTGGCCTTCTTCTTTAATTGCTGTAATTCAAGTCTAATGCTCAAACAGTGAAGGACTTGTTTTCTTCCCACTCTCATTCTGCTTTTTCAGTGATTTGCTCTCTTTTCTTTATTACTAGATTAAAAAATTATGAATGGATTCAGGAAAACAATGTAGATACCATTGATAAGCACAGACGAGGGCAGAAAAGAAAAAGCCCTCAGAAAAGTGCAGTGGGCATGGTCTTACTGCATTCTCATTTTCCTGATGAAGAGTGAAAGATTTCTGGTTACAGTTCTCACACTAGGGTCCAAAAAAAGTTGTGTTGTTTGTTTTTAAAGAATACAGATCATCCTGCTCTGAGATACAGTATTTCTTAAATTACAGCAATTTTTTAACCTCTGTTGGTGTCTAGCTTTTGCATATATCAAATCAGATTGGCAACAGGTTGTACCCTTCATTGAATTTTGACTGGATTTCAGTGGTAGCTGCAGAACCAGAAAAATGTGGCATTACTACTTAAAACAAACAGAGTTTTGGGAAAAGAGGTGGGAAGAGTGTTTAGAATATCTCCATTTTGGTTTTAGTAGAATGTCCCAACAGATAAAGGCCAATTCATTAAAAGTTTTTTTGTTGTTTGTTTTTAAACTAAATAGCCTGCCTTTAAGAACTCTCTCCACCTTTACAGGAAAAAAACCTGACTCCTACAAACAACAGAACAAATGCCCCTAGAATTCTTATAGAAAAGCAGACCATAATGGCTTAAATCCAACATGGCAAGATGCTGGATGGCCAAGGAGCTCCCTGCACCAGCTCTCAATTGCCTCCTATAAGAACAAAGCCTCTGACAAGTTCCACGTTTCTTCTGCCCTTCTGGGCCCCAGAAGCGCTTCAGATCCTGAAGACCAGCTCTGGAGCAGCATTGAGAGACTTCTCTCCTTCATTCAGAGAATACTGAACTATGGGTAGACAGAAGATCTTTAGAATTTTCAATCAGACAGGATTGCCTTTCCCTGACCAAATTCTGCTAAATTCTTAAGAATTTATGTGTTTATGTTAACTAGAAAGCTCTTGTGATTCATGTGTCATGCTGGATCACACAAACCCTTGGAGTCTGACAAGCAGATTGCAGTTGTAAAAGAAATTATGGAAGAACTCATTTGAGTAGATTGGACAGGAACAGGATCACTACAAAGCCATCCCACTTCAGGAAGGCTGATACCACAGCCAAAAAATAAGTGAAGAACCTGAGGCAAATGTTGATCTGCAGAAGAGGGATCAGTACAGGAGATGAAGATTTGCTCAGAAAGAAGGCTAGAAAGTTATTTTACTGGCAGCTGAATAGCTAACATGAAACCCTGCAGTTGACTACCAAAATACCTTCAGATCAACACTGGTCACAAAATGGACTAGTCATTGGAAAGTCAACTCTAGTCTTTCCAAGCTGTGGAGAAATGATAGTTACTGTAAATAGATTCCTGAAAATTTCATCGACATCTGAAGTAGAAAAGACTATCCTGATAGTCAACATGTGATTTGCATAATTTGAATTTTAGCTAACCCCACTGTACCAGGTACAATGTATGTGCTGAAGCAAGCACTATATTGCAGGTTGGAATAGTTAAAAGACAAATGATGAATAGTGACATCTTCATAAGCTTCTTCCCAGAACCTGTTCAGACCTTGAGTGCCATAGGTGAAAAAGCCTTCTTTATGAGGCGTTATCTGACTAAAGAGGTTAGCAATAGGGAAAATATGTTCTCGGTCAACAAATTGCAGAAGTGGTCTCTTTGGCTGAAAACAAGCACTGCTGATGTAAGTTCATAAAAATGACAGATGGGAGAGGAAGAAAAGAGGCTGAAGGAAAATGGAAGCTTAATTTTCTCTCTTCAGTAGGTCTTAATTCACAGGATGAAAGACTTTTCTTTTTGTGTCACCATCTCACAGAGCAAGAGGGCCTAATGCGTTGCATAAGCTGACTGAAATCCCAGTGGGGATAGCAGAATCCCAGCTGCACTATTGACACAGGGAAGAGATATGCTTCTCCCTAATTTTCTTCATTCTTCTTCATAACCAGTCTAACTAATTTTTGATCCCCAAAGGAGGAGAGAACCTGACATTAGTAATACTAGAACATAGTAAAGAAGGAGTGTGCCATCAGTGCACTTTTTCAAGAGACTGATAGAGACTTCTATTCATGGAATGCATGATAACAGAGTTTAGATCTAAATGGTACCAGAAGTTTTAACTGCCATTTCATTTGTGCTCCTGCAGTAAAATTACAAGAGGAGTGCAACTCAGTCAAGATTTGTGATTTGAGGACATGGCTGTAATAGATCCAATTACAAGCAGAAAGAAAAACTAAGGCTAAAACACACAATACATTGATAAACATATTACAGAAATGTTTCTACAGAAATTCATATTAAGTTCTGGTAACCATTGTCTCACCTGCATCTTCAGTTCCTCTAGTTCCCTGGTTTTATCTAATAATTCCCCTCGGAGCTCAGCAAGAAGAAATTGAAATTTGTCATGGATGGTTTGCTTTTCAACTAACAACCGTTTGAGCTCATTTTGTGATTTCGTATACTCATCCTGTAACCTGCAAAATATACAGTATTTTTATTTAATACTAAGACTGCCCATTTACCCTCTAAAAACAGATCATTCTTATGCTGAAAAATCTGAAGTCACAGTAATAACAGAAGTACAGAAGCAAAAGTAAAAAGACATCAAATCTGACAAAATATCTACTAGATATCATTTCCGCCCTCCCTCCAAAATACATTTGACATGGTTACTATTCTAAATTCTTGAAATTACTTCATATTTACAGATCCACTGACTATTTCAGAACCCTCACCTCACATATGTTGAGACCTTTAAATTGTTATTGTGTAAATAACAAAGTATTATTTTAGAAAACTAACAGTCAAACTTGTCCTTAAGCACAAATGAGTAGTAATGTACATTTCTATTGGACACTGAGTATTTTAACAATCAAAGCCCTTCCTCAATGGAGCAATTTACAGAACTCATGACTGAATCGGTAAACACTTATACTGCTACTCCTACAAATTAAAGTCAGACAGGTAACTAGCTAAAAAAACAAAAACCCTTCCTTCCAATATTTAATTTTAGCTTTTAACAGCTCAAACAAAATAAGCAAAACAGACATTTAAAGTACTGTACCTTGTATGTTCTGCCTTTAGAGTTTGATAATTTGTTTTATGATTTTCACACCGCATTCTTTCATCGATTAAAAGTTTTTGTATTTCTTCTTGTGAACCAACAACATCACTATTTCCACTTATTGCAGGAAGTATGCTGGTGAAAGTATCCATCCTGGCTAAATGTTATTGAGTTGACAACCAGGTAAAAATGAATTCAGCCCAAATCTACCACCTTCAGAAGGATTCCTTCCACCTTTTCTCTTGATGGCATCCCAGGAGGCCAAATTACCTGTTACAAACACAAGTGCAACTAATTAGTAATAAGTATCAGAGGGGTAGCCGTGTTAGTCTTGCATCTGAAGAAGTGAGGTTCTTACCCACGAAAGCTTATGCTCCCAATACTTCTGATAGTCTTAAAGGTGCCACAGGACCCTCTGTTGCTTTTTAATTAGTAATAGTCATTCATGGTTCAAAAGGCTTCACACACTATTTTATGCTTTCATATTACAAAGCTTCATGACTTCCTTAACCTAGGCTATTCTGATTTTAGCCACGGGTGCAGCTATACTGGGGAGTAAAATCCCACTGTTGACAATGCGTGAGTCTTAACAAAGACAATTCTATTTGCTATTCTATTTTTTAATATTTTTATTGCCCCCCACTCCGATTCCATTCCCTAAACTTTAGGTATCATTACAGAAAATATTTTAACTTGTTTTCAAATATAGTTGAAGTACTGTATATAACTAAGGCGCTACTTACCGGTAATTTGTGATATTGCAGAAATTACAGATCTCACAATATTAGTCTCCCGCTGTCAGCTTTGGACATTAATGACAGCAATATAGTTGGTGCAAAATGTCTCATTATCAAAAAAATTAGCAGGCATAACATAATACTTGAGTGTTTATATTGTTCCAGCAAATTTTTCTTAAACAAATAGGTCTTCTCTAGCTTTTCCAAATTACTACAATTTATAAAGGTCTATTATTACTTTTCTGCAATTTTCCACTTCTTATCCACAACTCGGCCACAATTATTGACAATCATCCCGCGATTCAACTAGGGCCTTATACGTAACTCATTTTCTAGCATTCCAACCTTCACTAAACTCTTGTGGATCCGTTTTAATGCTAACAATTTTATCCTGAAGAATGTGTTTCAATCTACAAGACCTGACTCAAAAATCACATGCCTCCCACACAGAGAAAAAACACATGCCATATTACATACATTATAAAAATAGATGCTATGAAATCCAAGGCTCTCTCAATGTTAATTTCTTTCCTGAAATTTTTCCCACTATTACTAATAGTGAGGGCAGTGTTGGTAACAGTTGAAGTGCTAATGTAGGCAAAGTGCCAGAAGTGACTGGCTTTTCTTTTGACTTGTCTTGTCCAAACTTGCCCAGAGGAGGAAGAAATTAGAATTGAGCCATCCAGTGAAGAAAAAGACTATGACTATTCTTCCAGTGACTGTTCTCCCTGCCTCTGCTTTTCCAATTCTGAGCACTAATCCTTCAGTAAAACAAATTCTGAAGAACCCTCTGAATAAGCAACCTACTTTTCAATCCAGGCTTTTCAAGAGTAAGACTAAGGACCAGGCAGCGATTACAAGCACAATCCCATAATATTTTTCAATAGGTGCATCAATATCTGTGTAAAATAGATCAAAATTCTGAGGGCTACAAAGAGTGTTTAGGCAGACCTTCCAAATGAAGAAAGCCAAGACAACACACACAGGAATTTCCAAGCCAAGAGTTTCCATCTGAAAAGGACTATGGTGGCCATCACTAAAACGCAACTTTACTGTGATTCAGCTCTGTACTGTCATAGAATCATAGATTATTAGGGTTGGAAGGGACCTCAGGAGATCATCTAGTCCAACCCCCTGCTCAAAGCAGGATCAATCCCCAACTAAATCCCCAAATGGCCCCCTCAAGGATTGAACTCACAACCCTGGGTTTAGCAGGCCAACGCTCAAACCACTGAACTACTAAACTAAATTCCAAGTCCCAAGCTGTAAAGGCTTCAGAATTGAGAAAGCAATTTTCGGAGATAAGGAACAAGCAAATAAGCAAAACATCCCTAATTCCAAAAAATGGATCTGAGTCTCCCAAAGGGGTGTGGATGGGGTCGGGGCGGTTGGGGGGGGTTGAATGGGGGTAGGAGTCCTGGGGGTCCAGTCAGGAAGGGGGGCGGTTGGATGGGGCAGCGGGGGGCAGTCAGGGGCAGGGGTTCCGGGGACAGCCAGGGGACAGGGAGAAGGGGTGGTTGGATGGGGCGGCAGGGGGCCGGGGGCGGTCAGGGGACAGGAGTGTGTGGATGGGGCAGGGGCCGGGCCACAACCTCCTCCCCTAACCGGCCCTCCATACAATTTACTAAACCCGACGCGGCCCTCAGGCCAAAAAGTTTGCCCGCCCCTGTTCTAATGGCTCTTGCTATTCATGCTCCATGGCTTGAGAAGCAAGGCACACAGCCCTAAAGCATTCACCTGCAGTGACACACTTCATAAGGAAGAACTGGATATTGAGAACAGGAAAGAGAACCATAGTTTACAAAACCGTTTTTTTAAATGTCAAAACAGTAAGTGGTACCTATTTAACAAAATAACCCTGTTTTAGATTACAGTGACATCTTGTGGTAGATTTTAAAACCTGCATAAAAGTCTGAAGCTGTCAGTTTTTAAAAACACTTTTACATTCTCCCATTAAAGTTACTGACTTGCATAAGTACACACAGTTGCCATCCATTATATGCAATTTATATGCTAAATTGCATATAACATGCACCTTTGACCATTTAATCAACACTGCTGATTAATCCATGGTCAGTAACTTCTTACATTCAATCTAATCACAGAATCATAGATTAGGGTTGGAAGAGACCTCAGGAGGTCATCTAGTCCAACCCCCTGTTCAAAGCAGGACCAACACCAACTACTAAATCATCCCAGCCAGTGCTTTGTCAAGCAGGGCCTTAAAAACCTCTAAGGATGGAGATTCTACCACCTCCCTAGGTAACTTATTCCAGTGCTTCACCACCCTCCTAGTGAAATACACCTCTACCCTGATATAACGCTGTCCTTGGGAGCCAAAAAAATCTTACCGCGTTATAGATGAAACCGCATTATATTGACCTTGCTTTGATCCACCGGAGGCACAGCCCCCCCCCCCCCCCCCCCCACTCCCCCGGAGCGCTGCTTTACCACGTTATATCCAAATTCGTGTTATATCAGGTCGCGTTATATCGGGGTAGAGGTATAGTATTTCCAAACATCCAACCTAGACCTCCCCACTGCAACTTGAGACCATTGCTCCTTGTTCTGTCATCTGCCACCATTGAGAACCATCCATCCTTTTTGGAACCCCCTTCAGGTAGTTGAAGGCTGCTGTTGAATCCTTCCCCTCCCCCCTTCTGCAGACTAAACAATCCCAGCTTCCTCAGCCTCGCCTCGTAAGTCATGTGCCCCAGCCCCCTGATCATTTTCGTTGCCCTCCGCAGGACTCTCTCCAATTTGTCCACCATTTTAAAAGCAAAAAATATGCCAAATAAATGTTTCTTTCCTTTGCCACCCCAACACGGTATTTCTTTCACCAAATCACATTAGTGCATGCTCCAGGACAGGCAATATGCACTCTTGGATAAGTAGAAAATATTTAATTGCCTTATTAGGGCTACAAACAGGAGCATTATACATTAGTAAGGCAAGCATCACTTCCAGCTAATGGAATAAGACACTTGCTTATAGCCATATATCATACATTAAATCCACAACATGATTAGATAATACATACAGAGTTTGGGATTGTTTTTTTTTGTTTTTGTTTTTGTTTTTGTTTTTTTTAAAAAGAAAGTTCTAAAATTAGTTATATTTTCTCTCTCCCTCGGAGGACTGTACAGTTTAATTTATTATAACTAAGGTCATCTAACTTTAGAAAAAGAGGAATATGAAATATTTATATAGTTCAAATTAAAACTCTCAAACATTTCTAAACATAGTTTTTCTGTAAAATATCTGGCATATAGTGTATATGATGGCATGTTGTGATTGACTAAAACAGCCATCCCAAATTCATGTCTGTAAAACCTTTTAATACATCATCCTGCATATGTACACCCATAGGAATGAGTGTTGATTCTCCGCATCAAGGGGTGTGGGTGCGTGTGTGTCCCTTTAAAAAGCTAAATATCTAACTTTAAAATAATGTTAGAGAGGAGAATAAAATGCTAATGTGAATAAGTTATCTGCTAAACTTCCAACCACCTTAATTCTGTCCCTCATTGTCCCACTCGCTTAAATAGAGAGTTAGAATGTGTCTGGTTTGTTTGTTTTTTAATAAGGATTACAACCTTTGCTTCAAGTCCTGGCAAATTCGGAGATATCAGGCCTTTAAATCACCATATCACCATTCATTAAAAAAAAAAAAAAAAATCTTATTTAAAAACAATGTTTTTAAGTATGTATTGATAGAATTTTTGTTACTAACAGTTGTAAATGGTAACTACGGTAAGTCAACCTAAATTTAGAGAAAATTATGTAATCATACTAATTTAAATTTTGAAAACTCCAAAACGTCGCTCTGATTTATGACATAACCAAGTTATATAATGGTGGTTTCAGTGTTCACTGGCAATTGTTTAGGATTACCTGCATAACTCATTCAAGGCTCTGCTTTCATTCCTATAGCCTGGTCTAACCTACAAAATATTACCATATTTGAATACTCTTATTATCAATGAAGTTAGATAACAAGGCTGAACATAATTTTTTGGCCAGTGCAGAACAGGACGAGTAGTATTCTGCCTTGTGTCAGCTAATTGTATCAGACATTAAAAAAACAACCCTCTCCTTCAGTTATTACTGTAAGTGTAAAGTTTAATAGTAGTTTCATATAATGTATAGAATAATCTGTTTGCCTACTTATTTCAGTGTTCTAGAATGCAAAGCCAATACCATCTCCCTGTGATCACCTCCCATGATCTCTCAGGACACCTGTATTACTATGAATTAATACTACCATCAGCCTAAAAGAATAAGACTCTCTGCTGCAGGAAACACAGCTCTTCTGGCAACATACACCTCTACCCTGATATAATGCAAACCGATATAACACGAATTCGGATATAACACAGTAAAGCAGTGCTCCAGGGGGCGGGGCTGCACGCTCCGGCGGATCAAAGCAAGTTCGATATAACCCAGTTTCACCTATAATGCGGTAAGATTTTTTGGTTTCCAAGGAGAGCGTTATATCGGGATAGAGGTGTACTAATGACTGAGGAACTCACTACTCGGAGAAACTAGAACCACCATGAAAGTCATTGATTTGACCTACCCTTCCCATAAAAAACAAAACCAAACACACCCACCCACCACCAAGGAACAGCGAATGGAGAGATAAATAGAAGATTCTTTGGTATACTGTATTTACTTCTAAAATCTGTAACTTTCTTAGATGCCACAGTGAGGAATGCAGTAGAAATACCTACATAAATATTTTTATAACGGATGCTATGGAATATTTTAATATCCAACACCTATTATATTGAGAAGGGACAGACATAATGCTATGGAATTGTGGAATATTCAGATACTATTGTATTAACTTTATAAATGTAATATGTACCTGTATGGGCTTGTTAGTGATTGTATTCCTGGCTAAATGGGTATGATAAAGAATGCTTCATGCAAGAATTAAAGACAATGGGGAGTAATTAATGCAAATCTCCAATACTGAAACCATCCAGGTAACAAGTCTTTTTGAAGTTTCACCCTCCTAGGGAAAAAGCACACGGACTGGTTGGACCTGCTTCAAAGACCATAGCAGAAAGCTTTTGACCTGATTGAGAAAGGACAGGGATACCATCCAAGAACTGACACAGGCATGAGACTGTGACCAACAGATACAGGCCCTGTGGGAGGATCTTAAGTATTTTAAGCCTACCAGGGTCTCCATATGGAAGACAGAGGACCACCTAGTATGTCAGGAGTTCATATAAGCTGTTTATTGCTTTAAGATATGTTTTCTGTTAAAAGCTTTTGTTCTGAATAAATAGTACTTTGCTTTATGAAAGCTGGCTGGTTACTGGATAACTCTGTCATTGGCCTGAGAGAACAGAAATGCAGGTGTTAAATTGAAGTCAGACCTAATGAGGTGATCACAAAAAATAGCAGAGGTCTGCAACCTAAGGCCCTAATCTGCAGGAAGCAAATCATGGGATTTCACCCAGAGAAAGATGAATGCTGGAGGCCTGTGACCTAAGTGGGGTGTCTTGAGGCCACAAGGAGGTTGGCCATGCAGTTAACTCAGGAACTATGACACAGATCAATACATTGTTGTAAGCAGTGTAGTTGTAGCCCTGTCCTCCCAGGATATTAGAGAGACAAGGTAGATATTACCTCACCCCTTCTGGAAAATGTTCATAAATCTCTTACATATATTGCGAGAGAGATACCAATCTCCATTCAGCAGTCACCACTTCTTTCCTAACAATGTGTGAAGTATGGCTCTCGGATAGTAATGGGCTATTTAAAGCCACCACAGAAGCAATAGATAATTATAATAGCGTTGATAAGGTGATATACGCTAGAGAACTTCCTAGTTTCGGTTACACTAGAAAAATGAGTGTCCCTGTTACAGCAACTGCAACCAACAACGTTGTGTTTATGCAACCTCTCGGACTCGTTACAGGAGCTAAACCGTTTTCACAAACATGCATGAGATTTTTATCCACCCCTCCGCCCCCAGGCTGATGAGCGGACTCCACGCCCAGTGACCCGCGGGTCGCTCCCGACCACGCTCACGCCTGCGGGCAGGACACAACTGACAGGATTTTCTCTCGCCGGTTGCCAAGTCATTGGTCATCGCCTCCACGCTCCCTCTGCGCTGACGCACAGGCCCAGGGGCCTTTCCCGTCAGGCGAGCACAGCCGGTGTGAGCGCGGGTGCGGCTCGCCCCCTGAAGCAAGCGGTGGAAGCAGGAGCCCGCGGCGGGCGAGGTGCCCGGGGCTGTCAGCCCCCGGGCTCCAGCAGTACAGCTGCAAGGGAAGGAGACGCCCCCCCGTCCCGATGAGCAGCGCACAGCACAGCCGGTTACTGTGCCCCTCGCCCCGCCACTGAGCTCACCCCGGGCAAGTCGCCGCCCGTTCAGGCCGGGAGCCCTGGGGCCAGGCCCTGTGCAGCGCCGGGCACGGGGCCGGGCCGAGGAGAGAACGGCGAGCCTCGAACCAGCCACCGAGCCCTGTCCGCGGCAGAGACCGCTCCGCGGGGCCGATCGACGGAGAGAGCGGGGCAACCAGGACACCGCCACGCAAGGGCCCGAGTCCCCGAGCCACCCCCTCACTCACCCGGAAACAGCTACCGGCCGCCGCCAAGAGGGTTTAAAAATGGCGCCTCGCCTCCCGCTGTAGCCGTCCGCCCCGCCCCGCCCCCTCCCCTCCCCATCCCGCCTGGCTGTGACCCCGCTCGGGACCCGTCAGCCTCCCGGAATTTCCAATAAGGCCGACGCCGCTGAGCTTGGTGGGAACGCGGAAGTGCCGCCTCCAGGCCGGGAAGCGCTGAGCGAGAAGCGAGGTTGCTCTGGAAACCGGCTCGCGACTGAGGCGCGATGGGGTGCAGAGGAAGGCGGCTACTGGTCTGGTTTGATCCAGGTTCCGCGTGGCTGGCTTGGTCCCTGCCCAGTACTGGAGCAAACCCGAACAGGATTTTGCCTTTTTGAAGAGTGCCCCACTCCGTCCCCACTAGTGTGCGGTCAAGCGCTTGAAAACGGTGCCCCCCCCCCCTCCTGCAGTGTTACTTCACATGCACCGTGCAAGGTCATAGCAACAGGGCACTTCCAGCAGTACTGCAGTCTATACCTCTAGTTAATTAGGGCATTAAATACAGTATACACGGCAAGGTACATTTGCTCTTCTGGTTCTGCTTATATTGCAGAAGTGTTTGACAATGAAAGAAAATAGGTGAAAGTGCTCAACTGCTGTATGCCTGTGTTCATGGTTACTCATCTGCAGAACAACAAAACTTTATGTGCAAAATGCATTGTAGACAACACTGAAAAATAACTTCAAGCTATTATACCAAATTTCAGACCCAGACTCCCTTAATTCCTAAGATATGCTTCTAAGGTAAGGGAAGGGAATAATAGAACATACAAAAATGGTTGTAATAAAAGTAAATTTACACACCTTGAAGCAGTTTCTGACAATTGCAGTATCTAACTCTTTTAAATAATCTACTTCAGACAAGTAAGGAGATAGCTATACATCATATTTTGTACTCAATAATGCTATCTCCAGATCATAAAGGCAGGTGGATGTTACTAATGCCAGTACCCCATTACACAACTGTTTAACAAGAACAAATACATTCACAGTATTCTTAATAGTACCAATTCATTTATATTTGAATGCACTTATACTATTTTATAAATCACTAAGAGCAGTCAAAACAGTTATCAGGTACTTTTGATGAAATCTTTAACATTTTGAAAGATTTATTTTGACTAAGAAGAGTCCTTAATCATCCCAGTCTAGTAATGCCCTTCCTTTCAATAGGGAATGAATAAAAAAAGGCTCCACTTTGTATATCACAAGGTGTGATTCACTTATGCTCCTAGCCCCATTAAACAAACAAATCAACAACAACAAAGTTAAATATCACCAGAATGTTTTTATAGATCTGCATAAAAAATTACAGTTACAATTAGTTCCCCTAGAGGTTGCTGTAATCCTAGATATGGAAAAGGCTAGTACGTGTGACAATTATTTCCCAAAGATCAAGAACAATAAGTCTAGGCAAAATGGTTGAATATTTGTTTCTCTTTAGATGAAATCATGTACAAATGTATGATTTTTATATAGAATTTTATAATCATAAGGTTATGATAAATATCTTGACACTTTCAGTAGCAAAATGGTAACAACTGGAGCTTTTAGGAAGAAAAGCATTAAATCTGTAGCAATATTTTGTAATACTGCAATAACATGAATACAGATTGAGTTTTTTTCCAAAGTCAACAAAGATTTTGTTTTAAAAAGTTAAGTTTTTTGTTTTGGATGCAAAGCACAGTAGTTTTACAGGACTGTAAAGTGTAGTTCTCAGAAAAATGACTATTAAAAAAAGGCTGTTAAAAAAAAAAAAAGCTACCCCGACCCAGCAGATCTAATTGTCCGAAGTCCTAAGCAAGGAGCAGAACTGCATGCCCATCTCCCCTAGAGCTGTTCTGAGCAGCATCTTTGTGAAAGGCAACACAAAGCCTGCTTCTTCCTCTTAAAAATTGCTGTAGAGACTTAAATTGGGGCTGTGCTAGGAGTCCTCTTGCAGGAGGCATCAAAGGCAGGGAGGTGAAACAGGAGACAAGGGGATAGAATTCAAAGGTTCTTGGAAAAGAAGGCCAGGGAAAGGAGAACATGCAAATTGGGACCAGCAAGAGACATAGGGAATAGCAGATAAGCACAGCAAGGGAAGAAAGGTGTTAAACAGGAGACAGGCCAATGGATGGGAATTTAAAAAAACAGCTGGAAAGCTTTTTGGTTCCCAATATTTGAGATTCCTTATTTCTACTTGCAATGTAATCTTAAATTATTTCTTTAACAATGGGAATTTACTGGATTAGATGTTGAGAATTTTACAAAAAAAAGGAAAGTTTACCTGAGTGAAAAGAGGAATTTGATGGGAACAGAGTCTTATATAAGTGCAATTCAGGCTTTCCCTCCTCCTTCCCCTAATTCCATTCTTTTCATGGGATAGATAATATGTAGTCATGGCCAAGAAATGCTGTAATGAATCCAAAAGTTCACTTCAGACTTGTTTGCTGTCCCTATGGAACAAGGGTGAAAGTAGCTGCTATGTGGAACAAACATGAGTTTTGGTAACCCAGAAGTGTCTCTTTAGATAGGACTATTGCTGTAGTAGCAGGTATGAATCTGTGGTTAATCTATGTTTAGTATGTGTCACTGTGACCCAAGGACCTCCTGATGCCAATGGGGAGAGGGTATAGGGGGACATAAGGGTCACAGGGCTCTCCAGCTTCTGGTATTTACATTCTAGTTCACCAAAGAATGCCATATAAGGTTTCAACAGAAAGCTTGTGTCACACTGGTCATCATAATGTTTGCAAAATGTATAAGCAGATAATATGTAAGGAATATATATATTAAAAATTATGTTCTTAAGGTCTTGTAGTTAAAGGACCAGAGAGACTGTGTGCATTGAGATAGACTTCTCCAGACAGGAGGTAGGAAACTCTTATCTCCCTAGCTGACCATTGTATATTATGGGCCTTACAATAAAAGTCCATTAGCATACTGAGTCAAATACTAATGAAGAGCTTGTGGAAACTTCAAAAGAAAATAAACAGGAAGAGATAAACAGCAGGAGCGTGGGGGAAGACCCCCTGTTTTAGAGGTGAAGATATTTTGAGGTGTTTAAGGTGGTCTGGTGTATTGGGGGCGTGCAGAGAGATGCACAAGAGGGCATTTGTTAGCTGAGTTTAGGCTCTAGAATGTGTGTTGTGACTTTGTTTTATATGTAACCCTTTGTTTCCAATATTTCTGTTTATCATATTAATTGCTTTCTTTGTTAAACTTATACAGTAGAACCTCAGCATTACGGACATCTCGGGAATGGAGGTTGTTCATTACTATGAACAAGCCGTTATAGGCTGCTCCTCAGGGCGGACTGCTCGGAGCAGGGGCTCAGCTCTGCAGTGGCTGCCCGGTGAGTGCGGGTGGGCACAGACAGCTGGTTCTAGCCCTCTGGTTGCAAGGGTGATGAATGAGGCACCCTGGGGCACCACAATATCAGTGGGTGCGTGGTGCAGGCTGTGGCCCTTTAAAACTGAGCTGCTCCTCCAGATCCCAGCGTGCAGGCAGGAGCTCGGGCTCCGGCAGCTTACACTCCAGGCCAGGTTTCAGTAGCAGCTCAGGAAGTTTCTTTCCCAGGCTCTGAACTTGCAAGCTTGTCCCCCTTCCCAGTCAGGAGGGAGAAGGAAAAACAGCATTCACCACCTCCTACCTGTAATTGGCTGCCCCTTGCCATGGTGAGTAGGGAAGGGGGTGGGGACTGGAAGTCCAGATGTGCCTACCTTTAAGATGCAATACAGGCACAGTACAGTATTTGCTGGTTTGTTTTTTTGGTTTTTGGTCTCCGCTGCTGCCTAATAGCCTACTTCTGGTTCCCCATGGTGTCTGATTGACCGGTCAGTCCGTAACTCTGGTGTTCGTATCTTTGAGGTTCCACTGTACTTGCTTTCTCTATAAATAAATCTAAGTGCTATGAGTTAAGCAGTGCCGTGTTCTTAGGTGAACTGGTAGGCTGCAGTGTACTTAGGAGCAGGGGGTCTGGTAATTTTCTGAGTGTCAGTGGCTAAGAGGCTGGACACTCTAGAGGTACGTTTTGAGTCCTTGGGGGTTTTATATCTATTACTTACTCACAGAGCGACAGCAGAGCCTGTGGGGGCTGAGAGGGGAGTACCTGTTCTGCCTGTGGCCAGGGTTGTCAGGGAGCTGACCTCTGGCAGACACAGTTAAGGCTTTCTCACGCTAAGGGCAGATGATAGTGAGATGCCTCCCTGGGGACTTTCACAGTCACCTTGGCCTAAATGCAGTCTAGCAAGAGAGATGCCGCATGGGAAATTAATAAGTGTGGTGATCAAAGGCTCTATCCTGCTCCTGCATCAGCTGGGCCTGGAAGTATTAGGCAGGCAACAACCTTAGGTAAGTCTACACTGAAAGCACAGGTTGTGATTATAGTTCAAGTAAACGTACCTGAGCTAATTTTCATCTAGCGAGCTCGGGTACCTGAGCAGTGAAGCTGCTGTAGCCTGCATTTCAGTGCAGACTAGTCCACTGAGTAATTATCCCAGGTTCTGGGCAGATTTGTACAGCCTGAGCAGAAACGCACACTTCCACAACTTCATTGCTCTAGATTAAAGCTAGCTCGGGTATGGTAACTTGTGCTGCAGTCACACCCTGTAATTGCAGTATAAACATACTCTGAGTCCCAGACAGACAGGACAAAGCCCCATACCTTCTAACACAAGCCCAGAGATGACTGGCTCCAATGGGTGCATTATTTAGGCTGAGGAAGAGGGAAAATTAAATAGAGTGGATACTGTATGTGGTGCTCCTAAGAAAAACATTTATAGTCAGAAGACAAAACGTCACTGGAATTCTTTATTCCTGGGGTAAAAACATGACCCCAGTGAAGTCAAGGAAGTTTTGCCATTAACTTCAACAAAGCCAGGATTTCATCCCTGGTATAGTCTAAAAAACTATGGGAGTCAATAGATATAAAGACTGAGACCAATCAACAGGATACTATGCTGTGTAGCTGCAGCCATGTCAGTCCCATTTAAGTGTCTTGTTATATTACAGCGGACTGCTGACTGACTACACAGTCCCAT